AGATTGTTGCTGAATGGAAGGGGGAAGCTGGGGGTGCTGCTGTGTCTTCCCTTAGAGCACAGTCAGAGTTCAAACTAGCTCAGATGAGTTGCCAGGTACTGTTGGGCAAATTGGTAGAATAATTGGTGCTCTGTGAAGTTGACCATAGAAAGGGGTTAGGTAAGGACAACTTGAGAGCACAGAGACCAAATGCAATAGGTTTCTGCCTTTCTAGGCAGTGGTAGGATCCCAGCAGAAGCTGGTTTGCCCAGAATTTTCATAAGTTTCCAGTTTGAGTGTTTTTCTGTCTCAGTGTGGGTTGGTGAAGAGATTTGAAGGGGGTGCTTGGTCTTGTAAACTTAATTTTGAATTGGCAAACTGATTATTTACCCCAAATAATTAACTTCCAATAGTCAAGCAAGTTCCATGGATGACATCTTGCTTTCCTCTTTGAACACCGTCACTGGCTTTCCCCACCTTCTGAATCATGCTCAAGTTTCTTAGCTTGGCCTCATCTTCAGGGCTCTGTAATACTCTGCTACTGCCTACATTTCTGTTTCCTTGCCCCTGCTCTCCCCACCCCTTTGCTCTGCTATCACTTCCCACCTCATCAATGAAAATTGAAAGGTGGATAAAGTGGATAAGGAACTGGTTAAAGGGGAGACTACAAGGGGTCATACTGAAAGGTGAACTGTCAGGCTGGAGGGAGGTTACTAGTGGAGTTCCTCAGGGATCAGTTTTGGGGACCAATCTTATTTAATCTTTTTTTATTACTGACCTTGGCACAAAAAGTGGGAATGTGCTAATAAAGTTTGCGATGACACAAAGCTGGGAGGTATTGCCAATACAGAGAAGGACTGGGATATCATACAGGAAGATCTGGATGACCTTGTAAACTGGAGTAATAGTAATAGGATGAAATTTAATAGTGAAAAGTGCAAGGTCATGCATTTAGGGATTAATAACAAGAATTATTGTTATAAACTGGGAACGCATCAGTTGAAAGTAACAGAGGAGGAGAAGGACCTCGGAGTATTGGTTGATCACAGGATGACTATGAGCCGCCAATGTGATATGGCCGTGAAAAAAGCTAATGCGGTCTTGGGATGCATCAGGCGAGGTATTTCCAGTAGAGATAAGGAGGTGTTAGTACCGTTATACAAGGCACTGGTGAGACCTCATCTGGAATACTGTGTGCAGTTCTGGTCTCCCATGTTTAAAAAGGATGAATTCAAACTGGAACAGGTACAGAGAAGGGCTACGAGGATGATCCGAGGAATGGAAAACCTGTCTTATGAAAGGAGACTCAAAGAGCTTGGCTTGTTTAGCCTAACCAAAAGAAGGCTGAGGGGAGATATGATTGCTCTCTATAAATATATCAGAGGGATAAATACCAGGGAGGGAGAGGAATTATTTAAGTTCAGTACCAATGTGGACACAAGAACAAATGGATATAAACTGGCCATAAACTTGAAATTAGACGAAGGTTTCTAACCATCAGAGGAGTGAAGTTCTGGAACAGCCTTACAAGGGGAGCTGTGGGGGCAAAAGACATATCTGGCTTCAAGACTAAGCTTGATAAGTTTATGGAGGGGATGGTATAATGGGATAGCCTAATTTTGGCAATTAATTGGTGTTTGACTATTAGCGGTAAATATGCCCAATGGCCTGTGATGGGATGTTAGATAGGGTGGGATCTGAGTTACTACAGAGAATTCTTTCCTGGGTGTCTGGCTGGTGAGTCTTGCCCACATGCTCAGGGTTTAGCTGATTGCCATATTTGGGGTCAGGAAGGAATTTTCCTCCAGGGCATATTGGCAGAGGCCCTGGGGGTTTTTCGCCTTCCTCTGCAGCGTCGGGTATGGAAGATTCTCTGCACCTTGAAATCTTTAAACCATGATTTGAGGACTTCAATGGCTCAAACATAGGTTTGATACAGGAGTGGGTGGGTGAGATTCTGTGGTCTGCGTTGTGCAGGAGGTCAGACTAGATGATCATAATGGTCCCTTCTGACCTTAAAGTCTATGATTCCCTTGGTCTCCTTTTCCCAGTCTTTCATCTTTGCACCTTTGTCCCAGCCCTTTACTCTTGAAGCATTTTTTCTTTCTTTTTTGCACCAAATGTTGACTATTCTCTATTCTTTAAAATTCCTTCTCAGAACATGTTTCCATGAAGTCTTTTAAAAGTTATGTGCAAAGGAGGCAGGGGAGAGGGGAAAAGCTTGTATGTCTCGTCTCCTCCTCCCCACAACTCTCCTTATGTTCTATTAAAGAAGGTCTAGGAGGCTTTAATTTAAAACAGATACACTAGAAGTTCAGATTTTATCAACCCTCTTTTTTTTCCTTTAAGGACTCTGTAGAGCACTAGTAGGTGTTTGACTTCAGATAGCATGGAACCTCCATTGCTGGTGTTGCTGATTAGCTCAGCATAGGGTTGGCAACTTTTTAATCACACAAAACTGAACACCCTTCCCCCACCCCCTTCTCCAAGGCCCCACCCCTTCTCCGAGGCCCTGCCCCCCCCCCCACTCCATCTCCCCTCCCTCCGTCACTTGTTCTCCCCCACCCTCACTCGCTTTCACTGGGCTGAGGCAGAGGGTTGGGGTGCAGGAGCGGGTGAGGGCTCCAGCTAGGGGTGCGGGCTTTGGAGTGGGGCCGGGGGATGAGGGGTTTAGGGTGCAGGCTGGGACAGGAGGTGAGAGGTGCGGGCTCTGGGTGGTGCTTACCTCAGGCAGCTCCCGGAAGCAACTGGCAGCTCCCTCCGGCTACTAGGCACAGAGGTGGCCAGGTGGCTCTGCACGCTGCGTCTGCCTGACAATGGGTGCTACAGAACCGGCACTTGGGCAGGGGCAGTGCGTAGAGTCTCCGTGGCCACTACTGCGCCTAGGGGCCGGACATGCTGGCCGCTTTCGGGAGTAGCGCGGAGCCAGGGCAGGCAGGGAACCTGCCTTAGCTCCGCTGTGCCGCTGACTGGATTTTTAGCGGTCTGGTCAGCGGTGCTGACTGGAGCCGCCAGGGTCCCTTTCCGACCAGGCGTTCAGGTTGAAAACCGGAAGCCTGGCAACCCTAGCTCAGCACTTTCTGGGTCTGATGGCCTCCTTTGTTTTCCTTCCTACTGAGTCATTCTGGAGTGCTCTGTATGTGTGTGTGTGTGGGGGGAGGGGGGGGGCTGGAACATCTGCAGCAAGTGTTCAGTATTGCCAGCCCATATGTTCAATAATCATGCACCAGACCCCCCAAATTCATGAGATTAGTTTAAAAATTGAGATATTTAAAGATTAATACTCGTCGTTTTTTGCCTCCCTTCTGGTTTTTCGCCTTGAAGAGAAGTGCCAGCTCCTTCTCCAATTTGTGCGCCATCATCTTAGGTTCAAAACTGACCCTTAAATACACCCCCACACACAAATACAGTTCTCCCTGTTCACTGCTCAAAGAGGGCTCTGCTTATCCCCTTCTGTTGCTGAGGGGGTGGGGAACTGCCACTCTGTCCCCCTCCCTAGTTTGGCTGTCCTACTCACTCTGCCTGCCTGCTCTCCCACGGTCTGGCGTTCCCCACCTGGCCCTGAATTCTCTTGCCCCTTCTATACTTCACTTCATTTCCCCTTACTTCACTTCATTTCCCCTCACAGCCTCCTACCAGTCACGTTCTCCTTCTCTGCCACGTTATGTTCCCCTAAGCACACCACTCTGTTCCTCCTGCTCCCCACATTCCCCAACTCCACATAGTTTCCTGTCCCATTTCCAGTATTACCAAACCCAAATGTTCAATATCAAGAGACAGGCCCCTAAAGATCATGAGACTTTTTAAAATAAAAGTTTTGTTTATATTTCCCTCCTGGTTTGTAAGCCCTTAAGATACACTCGAGTCCCATGTCAACGCTTTTCTCCGCAAGAGGCTAGAAACTGAGATACTCATGTAATTGAGATGCCAGGAGGGCTTTAACTAAAATATCAAATATTACAGGATTAGGCAACACTCTGTTATGTAACAGATTTGCCCTCCCTGCTGTCACTGTAGTTTCATTCCCACCTCCTTTGCATCCTCCTGGGAGATGGTGACCATCTTTCCTGGGGACAGCCAGCTCACTTTTGCATGCACAGATTAAAAAGACATGGTGGCCAACTTGCTGAGGGCAGTCTGTGGTTTCATTTCTCATTATCATCAGGGAGACTGGTGGCCATTTTGGATAAGGATAAAACTTCACAAGATTGAAGGCAGAAATCAGAAACGCATATGATTGTTTAGCACCCCTGACAATATCGCAAAACTTGGGATAAAATTGGAAGAGTTCTTAATTCACAAATCATAGAAATTTAAAGATGCAAATACCTATTAAGCCATCTTGTCCACCCATTCCTTTGGGTCTAGTGATGGAATATTCCCTATAGTCTGTTCACTATGGCCTTTGTCTTCCCTCTGTGGTCCTAGGTGACAGGGCTCCCACCTTATCCCTTGGAAATTGATGCCACAGCCTCACCCATCTCACTGTTACAGATCTTCTGGAAGATTCCACCCATGTTAACTTTTGTTCCGTTTTCTCTTAAATGGGTCCTGTGTTCTTCTCTTGTTTCCATGAACTCCACAACGAGGTGTGACAGCAAATGTCAGCAGATGAATTACAGTGAACCGTTTTAGATCCGTAGGGGTCTGCTCTTAGATGAACTAGACTCAAGTAAATAACAAAGATGCACCAGTGAGAAGGTGGCAGTTACAATTAAATTTAAGGAAGCCCAAATATCTGCCTGCTGTGCTGATCCCTAGGCCTCTTCCTGGCTGCTTGCTTTGTGTTGTTACCTCCACATAGTGTCACTCCGGGAATCTGTGCACATCATTGAGACCAAGGATGGAAGGTGTTTTTCTTTTTGCAATGGGTTGTATATGTGTATGCACACGTGTGCATGTGTGTTGTGTATGTGGGGAATAATTGTGATGTTTGGAAGCTGTTGCACTTACGTTAAAACAATGGGGTCCTTTCTCCCTCTCTCTGACAATTTGATTATTTTCTTTCTCTCCCCCTGCAGGTGTAACAAGCAGTACTGACTGTTCCTGTGGACGCAATCACTTTACTTGTGCAGTCAGTGCCTTTGGCGAGTGCACGTGCATCCCGGCTCAGTGGCAATGTGATGGTGACAATGACTGTGGGGACCACAGTGATGAAGATGGCTGCAGTAAGGAAATAACTCCTTTTGTGTGTACATGTGGGTGAGCACGCTAGCAGGCATGTGCAGGCAGGAGTGTGTGTGTGTGTGTGAGAGAGAGAGAGAGAGAAGGCTGAATATGAAGGTTTTAACTTTCCTCTATGAACCTGAGAACTCTTTGTCTGATTTAGAAGTTACAATGAGTTTGTCTTGGTTTGTTTCCCACGTGCTAACTGTCCTTTTTGACTGAGGCCTATTTCTGGAATAATAGAGAGCTATTGGTCAGGACTATGTGTATAGGTAGCGCAGGATGGGAATAGAGGAGGCAGCTGTAGTCAGAGTAGAAGTCAAAGAGGAGGCTTGCTCTGTACTATGCCCATGTTCAGTCCCCAGCATGCTTTAAAAACAAACAAACAAACTTTGATTTAATTCTGTTTGAGCTGGTGAAAATAGTTTTGAACTAAAATGTAAAACCTGTGAACAGACAGACACACCCAATGAGCCTACCTCTCTGCTCCACCCTCCCTTCAAATCAATTGCCCTTGGGCAATGTGTCTCCTTCACCAGCTGGCTCCTTTTTGGGAGCCCCAGTGGCCTTGACTGTATGAGATGCTTTTCCATTTATATTCACAACAGCTGAGGTTCACTAAGGTGCTTGAGATGATAGTCATCAGATTTCAGAGCTAGGGAGCTAGTAGCTGTGGGGCTCTGGACTCTGAGGCTCCCATATTCCCTGGTCTGACAAAGCCAAAATCCACTAACCTTGGGCATTGTGCAAGGCCCATTCTTGCTTTCTGGACTGGTTGGGGTCATGTGGGAGGAATTGTGTTTGTGTGGGGGAGGGAGAGTGTCCTCTTCCTCATGTGAAAGGGGCAGCTGCCCAGTAAATTGGTTTGTGTAGCTGAGCTATATAGGTGGAGAAAATAAACAAATGTGCGGTGTGAGTATGTTCTGGATAAGTGTGCCCTCCCTCCATCTTGTGGGCTGCAATGTTACCCACCCTGGGTGCTCTGTGAGGGGAGGGGAAAGCAGCTCTTCTAAGCTACACTCCTGTCATTCATTCACCTGTTGCTGTGGGATCCTGTGAGCGAGATCATCTGACAACTGATGTCCGTGTCTGTTTAGCTGTGTGCACAGATGAGAACTGATGAAAAGCTGGGCTCCCAGTGGGCCTAGCAGGAAGGAAAAGAATTAGAATGCAGAAGTCCTCTCCCTAGGACCACAAGGAAAGGCAGCTGCTTCCTTTACTCACCTCCTGGGATTTCACAGATTCCATTGGAGGATAAAAGCTCAACGTGAAGAATTACTTTTCTTCAAATGACCTAGTATCCAAAGGGAATCCAGGCCCCTCTCTCTAGTGGAGGTGGGGAAATCTTTCTCCATTGAGACGTGTGTCCCTACCCAACCTCTCCTTGTTCCCGCTGTTCTGACATCTGTGCAGGAGAAAATTTCATTCCCCTTGTGGAATGGAGTATTGGGGAATCCCACTGATGTTTCTCTGCCCCCTTTCGCTTCTCTGCGTAGATGTGGGAGAATCCTGCACTGCTGTAGGGAAGTTACCTTCCTCCCCAACCTTGGTTCCTGCATCTCTGGACAGAATATTTAGAAACATGGGAAACTCACAGGGGGAAAATAGGCCCTCAGGAAAATAAAGGGAGCAGGACTCTGACATAAAGGTGACCAGTGGGAAGAGAACCTGAGAACCCTGTGCAGGAAGCAGGGAAATAATCTGAGACAATATTTGGAGAGTCCAAGAACAAAGGAGGAAGTGGAACAACGGGGATAGAATCTGCCTAGACCTGCAGGACTGGGCCCAAGGGAGAAAAGCACAAAACCTCCAAGAAGAACTTTCATGTGCTGTGGAGGTGGGTGCCTGGGAGCCAGGGAAAATCTCGATCCCTGAAAAGGGTGGGAGGAGAGAAACAGGAACCCACCAGTTGCCTGTCTCAGGTTGAGAATAGGAGAGCTGAGGCAGGAATATCTGATAACCAAACACCCTGGGCTGATTTTGAAAATTGGTCTTGCTGGCCTCCAGTGCACTTACTGAGGCAGGATGGAGATACAAGGGAGACAGGGTCTACTTGGGCTTCACACAAACTGGGGAGGGGTGGAAAATTGATCTGTGATCAGATTGGCTGACCTCCCTATGATTGGGAGGGAGAAGAAATAAACATGGCAGTTGCAGGCAACCAAGTGAGCTATAAAGCCTGGGAATCTCAAGCCATCAACATGAATCAGTCTGAGTGACTGACCCTTTACACTCAGGGAGGGGAGATAACACAGCTGCAAACTGGGGGCAGCTCTCTGGAAAACAGCAAGTCTGAGACAGGAGTGATTAGACCCCCTGCTGCCAGACTATTGTGTGTAGTTCTGGTCTCCACAGTTTAGAAGGAGAGAGACAAACTGCTAGAGCATACAAAGAAGGGTAACAAAACTGGTAAAATGGGAGACAAGCTGGAAGGAGCTAAATTTATACAGGGTAGAAGTAACTTGAGGGGAGGGGTTGGAAAATGATCTGCCTCTATAAATACCTACAAGGAAACAGGGTAAATAAAGGGAAAGAATTCTTCAGCTCACAGCCAGGATAGGAAGGAAGGCAAAAGCAGAAGCTAGATCAGAGGTGGGCAAACTATGGGCCACATCCGGCCCATGGGACCGTCCTGCCTGGCCCTTGAGCTCCCGGCCAGGGAGGCTAGCCCCCGGCCCCTCCCCTGCTGTCCTCCCTCCCCCACAGCTACGCCACCGCGCAGGCAGTGCTCTGGGCAGCAGGGCTGCGCGCTCCTGCCAGGTAGTGCGGCAGCCAGACATGCTGCTCTGAGCAGCATGGTAAGGGGACCGGGGGGTTGGATAAGGGGCGGGACTCCCGGTGGGAAGAAAGGGAGCAGGGGGCGGTTGGATGGGGCGGAGGTTCTGGGGGGCGGTCAGGGGACAGGGAACGTGTGTGTGGGTTGGATAAGCGTGGGAGTCTCGGGGGCGGGGGTGTGGATGGGGTCAGGGGACGGGGAACAGGGAACAGGGGCGGTTGGATAGGCATGGGGTCCTGGGGGGCTGGGGTGTGGATAGGGGTCGGGGCAGTCAGGGGACTGGGAGCAGGGGAGGTTGGATAGGGGGTGGGGTCCTGGGGGGTGGTTAGGGGGCAAGGAGCGAGGGGAGTTGGATGGGTCAGGGGTGCTGAGGGGGGCAGTCAGGGGGCGGGAAGTTGGGGGGGGGATAGGGGGCGGGGACCAGTCTGTTTGGCGAGGCACAGCCTTCTCTACCGGCCCTCCATACAGTTTTGCAACTCCAATGTGGCCCTTGGGCCAAAAAGTTTGCCCACCCCGAGCTAGATGCTGGAGCTGAGGAGCTGGTGACTCTCACAAAGGACTTGAAAAGAACCGAGCATTCCCAGTTGCTAGGCTTACAGAGGCACTTGGAACACTTCTGCTCCATTGAGGCTGCTGAGTCGACTGAGTGGCTGTCTAGCATGCATCATGCTGCGTGATATTACTAGCCTGTTAGGAACAGGACAGCTTTGTGATGTGGGGTGCTGGTGACTGCTTTCTTTATTAATCTCCCATTCTTATGGTGAAAGCTTGCTAAAGCCAGTATTGCTGAATCCCTTTCCTAGCCTAGCTGTTAGTCTTCCCAGAGATGTCTGAAGGTGCTGGATTCTCACAAGCTCCTGGCAAAGCACCTTTAAGAGCACTCCCATCACAGCCTAACCCTTTCCTTCCTTCCATTTTCCCACTGTTCATGCAGCTTCTTCAAGATCCATATTCTGTCCCAGTTAGAGTTCCTGCTACTGCCGCTGCCTCCTCCTCCTCCTGTTGGATTTTGTCTGCTTCCAGCTCCCCTCTCTCATTGTCTCCTATTCTGAACTTGCCCTATTTCCTGTCTGCTCATTTTCACCATGTTTAAAACTCCTGGATTCCCAGGTAGCTTTTATAGGCATAAGTACCAGGCAGTGGGATAGGATTGCACACTTCCCTTCCAGAAGTTAAAGACCCAGTTAAGACATCATTGAGGTTCCTTGAAAACCATGGAACTAGGATTCAGACTGGAATGAGCCATATGATGTGTTTTGGTCCATGTATCTAGTTCTATGCAGCCACATGCGTGTTCCCATCTGAGACGGAGAAGAAAGTACAGGGACGAGCCTTCGGCAAGGTATGGTGCTATAGCTCCTCCTTTGGCCAATCAATGAAGTAATGTTGATGAGCTCCTGAGAGAGTCATGCCCAACTCCCGAGAGGGAGGGGACTGTGGGGACTTTAGAACTCATAACCCCAAAGGCAAACAGTGACCCAGACCCAAAGGTCTCAGCTCTTGAGGTGGGATCTATGTCCATAAAGTGTGGTGTATGCTGGAGTAATTGAGCTAGTTAATTGCAATTAACTAATTTTACATTAGTGCCATTTGTCAACCCCTTTGAAGTGTTAACGTGCTAATTGTTGTGGGGAGGGCTTGAAATGGAAGGTGAACAAGAAAGCAAGACATGTAGCAATGAAAGGGGATGTGTCAGCCCAAAGCGGGTGCAGGAAAGGGATGCACAGAGGAGAACATGTCATCCTTTACAAGTGGGCCTTGTCTCAAGTTTTCAGCTCTGTCTAACTATCGTGGCTACCAACCTTCTGTCAAATCTTCCCCCGGAGGAAGGAAATCTAACTCTCACCCCAAATCTAGGGCCATGTCTACACTGGCAAGTTTCTGCGCAGTAAAGCAGCTTTCTGCAGTGTAACTCCCGAGGTGTACGCACCGCCAAGCCACTTAATGCGCAGAAACGGCGCAGTTGCAGTGCTGTAAAAAAATCACCCCGACGAGAGGTGTACAGCTTTCTGCGCCGGGGCTACAGTGTCGCAGTGCCAGTCAGACACCCTGGTCGATTACAGCGCTGCAGTTGGCCTCCAGGAGGTGTCCCACAATGCCTGTTCTCGCCTCTCTGGTCATCAGTTTGAACTCTACTGCCCTGCCCTCAGGTGACCAACTATGAGCCCCATCCCTTAAATTCCTTGGGAATTTTGAAAGACCCCTTCCTGTTTGCTCGGTGATGCG